ATTGTAGTGAATAAGAAAGACGTTGATACCATCAGGTGAGCTATCATCAGCACAAGAAGAAGGCACGAGATCGGCGATCAAGCACCGTCATCTGGGTTCGCCTGCGTTCCTTTCAGAGCTACCACCCGCTTGCTCAGTCCTTCAATAAACCCCCTTTACATTAGAAACGTTTAGACTTGCGGTCTTATTGATAGTCCAGTCAAGTTCACTATGAATAAAAGCTAAAACAAACTGTCACAAGGAACTGGTGCAAAGTCGAACTAATGTGAATTGCCTTTTTTTTTGCAAAAGCATGTCATTGTAGAAAAATACGAATATAGAGGTGAAATATTATTTTAACAGTGGCATAAAATATTCACTTTATGAAAGCATTGTTTGCAAAAACAATTTCATCAGTCATCTCAAACAAGCTCTGACTGCCTTAAACAACTAGTGCTAGGGAATTGGTAAAAAAAGGTCCTGAACATCAAATGAAAAGCTAAGGTCAGCGAAACTATTGACCTGCAGAAAACTGATGACCTCATTGAAATTTTTTTCTATAAAATAATTGTTTAAGACCTTTCAAATGGCAAAACAGAAACTTGCTGACCTGCAAACGCCAAGTGTCCCCTACTCTAGCAATGGTGTGAAGGGGCGTGTCAACCTTGTGCGTCTTACTGTGAATAGCACATTCAAGGTTGTTCCCTTAGCCTTCTTTGTGCACTTAGACGAGTCCGACAATTTAATTTCTTCAGCTTTGCTTTTGACTTTTAACGCAGCATGAAAGTTCACAAGTGCTTTTATCTCCTTGAAATAAGCAGCATGACGAAGTACTTGAAGATTCTGCTCTGTCGCTGACGGCATGTTGTGTTAGTCATCCTTCTGTCGGCTTGTATAGTGATGAGAAGAGGTTGCTGCACCTGTGTACTAATTTTTGTCAATCATGGCATATGCGCACATGTTCTTTGTGTAACTATTTATGAATAGTGGTTCGACCCATGAATAAAGGAGTGGCAGTTAGCGGTTGTTCCCGTGCCCTCGCTTGTCAACGTGTTGTTGCGACTCTGAGTCCATGGATCTCATTTTTGGTAGCAGGCCCCCGTCGTAGGATCCATTGTCCAACAAGTTAAATGATACACTCGTAATAACAACAAAAATTTATTTACATGATTAGGAACTGAGCAGTTGACAAGAGGTGATCAAGTAAGAGCTCAATAAACAATTGAAATGGTACAATAGTCTTCCACTTATACAGCGCCGCGTTGAAGACCTTGGGCGCATTGCTTGGATCTTCAGCCAATACGGCACTGGGTGGTCTTGGTGCTTCATCCACGAAGACGGAAAAAGACACCACACAATGCACGTGGAGAAGCCAATGTCTAAACGATGCCCAAATATGGTAACAAACGCACAACACTAAGATCTTTACACACGACACCAAGCTTTTGCTCGCGTCTGATGCTCCTAGCTGATCTGGAATTAAAGAACTCTCCCGGCAAGGGGTGATGTTCGAAAAGACCGGCTCCCAGTACATATGCCAAACTTGCCTACCTTCGTTCACGTAGAACAATGTAGCGGCCGGCATGACAGGCTTATCATTAAACATGCCACTTCATGTAGCCAATACTGTGGAGAGAAGGGGAAAGAGGAGAGGTCGACTAATCCCACGCCATTTGCTATGAGTTACTCGTTGAAACCAGCACATTTCCGGCACTTCGATATACTCGAAGGGTGCAGCTGCAAATGGTTTGGTTTAGCTGCCACTTCAAACAGCAAATACCACGGTGGCTTCGAAAATCGCCCCGTGCCATCCATGTTAGCCCGGAAAGCCTTTGTACCTACGGAGCCTAGGAGACAACAGCCTTTCCTATCTCGTGTGTTTTCTTAGGGCAGAATTGGTTCCAAGACACTTTTGTTCATGCTTGACTTAGAGGAAACCAGCCAGTTTCATCTGCACACCCTTGCTAAAACTTTTCATCGGGTGCACAGCTCCCAAACGAATTTCAATGTTGATGACGGTCAAAACAGTGTCTTATTATCGCACAACCATTTCACTTCAAGCATAGGTGCATGCTTTTGTGGCTTGTTACAGGCAAAGTAAGACCTTCTCTCTTACGTTTGAGGTGGTACACAACCATGGAGCCAGTTTTTTTCAGTTTTCACTATAACTTCACGTTTAATGTTGAGGTACTTGAAGATAAGGTGAGAATTTATATATCACTATAACTTCGCGTTTAATGTTGAAGTACTTGAAGATGGGGTGAAAAGTTGGGGTTGGAATTACTAAGTACTCCTAGAATAAACACTAGATTGAAAAGAATTTTCAAAAATTTTCACAGTGTGGTTAAAATACGTAGATAATCTCATCTTTTAACTTCTATTTCTTATCTCACAAAAGAGACTACTGTTTAAAATAAGACGAAGTCGTTGCGGAAGAAATGTCTGCCAACGCTCGTTTTTTTCCAACACAATCGTCAAGTACAGTCACCTTCCAGAGAAGATTGTTCACAGTTGTACCGAAACATCCTTCACCCGTTGGTGAAACAGTACGCATACTGTTACACACATAGCTACATCTTTTTTTTCTGTTTTTGTGTTAATGTAGTTTGAATAGTTATCCATTTTATGTAAGCATATATTAGCTCCTGTAATAATGGCTGCACTGCAGGTACTGTGAATAAATCAACGACTAAATAAATAAAGAAATAGGTAAGTAAATAAAGAAAATGCGCTAATGTTTTTTTTTACTTTTTTGGTTCGGTAGCTCCCAAAAGCAATGGTTCACAATGTACTCTATAACTGGTTTTGACTAGGTATATTATGGTTAAAATTATCGCTCACTACGTAGCCATGATCATCTTTCAGTTGGAAATTACGTTTGGGAGCCCTTATTCAAGCTGACGCCTCATAACTGTCTACTTCCGCACTTTCAACGTGCTTGTCCCTGGAAATCGTTTTCGCAACGCGTTTTGTTTCTCTTTGCAAGTATACGATTACGTTTCATGATTCTAAGCCCCTCAGGGCTAAATGAACTCTGTGATCGATTGTGAGCAGTGACACGTAGGAGTCATTGATCGTAAGGAATTCTGAGGCAGCCATATATTATCTCACGGCAGCAAAAGCTGCCTATTGCTGCTAGTTATGCTGGTAAGGAATTCCTAATCGCAGAACAAAGAACAGACACGGACACCGTTATGAACTATCCTTCCCATCATCTAAACCAACAGTGGATGTAACTGAGGCTGAGTCTCGCGTTCAAAGGCAGCGGGTGACAAAAGTTATACCTTAACCATCCTAGTAACATGGTGATCACAGTCATATAGCGCAGCTAATGCCTCTGATTACAGTGGCTACAAAAAAAAGTGTGATGAACGCGCCGGCTAGCGCCTAACGCATTGAGAGGAAACCGCCAGGAGGTTCTGGCACACGTCTGCACATCACCCAAGCCGGCGATGCACTGCGTAGAGACGGGAATTAACCAAGCACGCGGACAGTGTGAAAGTTTTAAAATATATTTTGTTGCTCATGCATGGTTCCAAATGGAGACCGAAATGATGTTAAAAACTTTTGGAATAACAGAATGAATACGCAGGTGCGCGACTGAACCGCAATATCGACAGGCCGCCGTAAGTGAGTGCGTGACAGCACTGAAACATTTTATCGATGTGAAGTGGTAGAAGAGTGAAATGATGAACTAAGTTGTGAGCCATTGCGTAGAGCACCTTCCACTGTGAACCATCATTTCTTCAAGCGCTAATCTATAAATAAAACCCCATCATTCGTAACGTCAAACCCAGAGACGAGAATCACGAACGGTATCTGGATGAAGTACGCTGGTCACACAACGCATTTCGGAGTAGTGGCTCACTATCTGTTTACAACAATGCATTCTTAATAATTAGTCGCATGTCTTTTTTTATCAAAAAAGTTTTATAGTTCACAAGCACCCCTTGGACTGAAAGCCTAGGTGACGCGCCTCAGCTTCACATATTTCCTCTATTCATGGGACGATGCTCGCTCCTTGTGGAGTGCCTTTGTGTATAGACGCAAATAGGTGAGCAGAAAAAAACTTGTTCACTTGATTAGTGAGGCTGGGACCATGTTGTGCAAAACCCACTGTGACATCTTTTTCTTCTAATCAGGGAACAAGCTTTTTCAAGCTGTCACTGTGAAGCTCGTTTTAGCTATACTACTTTGAAAAAGAGATTTTAAGGACGTCTACAAACGTGGAGAGGTTCTCTTAAAGGCCTATCCATAAGCGTCCGCACGAGGGGGGCAAAAAGGGCGGGCACCCCCATCTCCCTAGTCCCCTGGAAGTGGTGTTAAATTGGCTCTATACATTGGCTAGGCGAAAGGGCACTCTTTTACTCATCTAAAAGGGGATGAGTAAAAGAGTGCCCTCATACACTGAAATAATAAGGAGGGGCACCCTGCATTGAAACTTCGCCCCCCCCCTTGAACGGCAAGCACTCCTATTGTCCGCCTTCGATGTGAACAATTTTACCTTTCACAGTGAGCTCAAAGTGCCAGGAGATACACCTCTCGTCGAATCGCAGCTCGCGCACAGCCGAGTTTTCTTGAAGCAGCTTGTCAGCCCGCAGCACGCGGTATCACTCTCCGCTACTGCGGAGAGCTTCGTCCTTTGTAACGCCAAACAACCTTACTTGTAGCCGGTACAGCACGCCGGGACGAAGCAATGACTTTGTTATCGCGCCTTGAGGTTGGAGAACCATTGGTGTGAGAGTGTCACAGCAATAAAAAACCTAAGACGAAGGCACCCGACGAAACGGTCAGAAACGTGCAAACAACGTATAAACAATTGCCCGCGTCCCACGCAGCTCCCCTCCATAGGCGCCGCTTGCCGCTTATCGCACTTCCCAATTCTAGCCACTGTACTCTGCTTTTACAGTTTCTTCAGATTGCTTATTTTTTGATCGAGCTTCCCTACCTTGTGTTCCCGCTACTTAATTGTCTGCTGGTCGGGATCGCTCTGTATTTATGATGCGCACATTTTCTCCCAGTGGGGTGACGACAATCCACGAGACAAAAGTCATCGGCACGTACATCGATGGCAAGTACGCGCAGATCCTGCAGAGCACCTCACGCCTCGTGTCCGTCGCGCCTTCGGCGGCTGCAGTGAGCAGTACGCCCACAGCGGCGTTTCGAGCACCCGAGGCGACACCCTTCGTCCAGCTGCTGCCAAAACTAGAGCCCTCACCAAGCCTGAAGCACCAGCACGTGGTACGCTCTGACATCGCCAAGGTGAACCCGCATGCAACCAGGTGGCTTCTGTTTTGATCTGCCGTGGTCGCGATACCGCTGGGTTTTCTAAAATAATATCGCAGCACCTCGCGGCTTTTGAAACTACTGCAAAGTGTCAAAAATACATAAAGATAGAGATGTGCGTCAGTTAGGGTATGTGCAACTTGCACAAAATCATCTTCTCATGCTCGGTCCATTGCACGGATTTTGTACAATATGCGATAACACAGGTATCGTAAATGCCATAATAGATATTATTTGTGTATGTTGTATCTCTATTGTGATGTGTCTCAGAAACAAGTATCAGTGCCTGTATTTCGGACACATTCAGTAACACATCGTAAATCCTAAGACACAATATGATATGCTATAGAAACACCACCATGCGAAACAATAAACGTTGGCTGAACTCCACTTTTTACGCTGATACTGCTGTTAGGAAGCCACCAGAATAATACTAATGTGTCACATTATTTTACCAAGCACATCCAGCAACGAGGTGTATTCATCAGTAGAGCAGAGTCACGGGATGGAGCTTGAGCGATCTACACAGAAACGAGAACGGCGATGACCTGTTTTTGTTCTTTTCAGTTGTGTCGGTGTGATGACATTTTTTCATAATCACAGCGCTTTCTGGTGTCCTCCGATGCGTGCAGCATCTTCCCTCTACTTCGTTACCGAAGTTTGTCCTGCAAGGCGCTCAACTGCAGAATGGGATTGCTTTGCATCGCTCTGCATTCACACATCAGTGATTTGAAATATATTGGGGATGTAACCCTGACTTTATTATAACGAGAACAACTTGAGTGCAAATGAGTTCTCATAACCACCACTTTACTGCTACCGGCGCTAGATCCAATAGAGGATGTATTTACGTAAGAAACGATATTTACGCTTAGCGTGTCGTCGTTTTTCCCGCTAAATTATTGAATAAGTTGATTTAGTATAATTCAGTTTTTACCACAAAAGCTGTTTATGCTGTCCTCTATTTGCATACCACACATTGCCTCGGTTTCTGCGCAATTTTGGTCATCTGCTTATTGTGAAGTGTCTTGTGTGGTTTGCTTTCGAACACTTTCTCTACATTATGCCTATTTTGTGTGTGCCTCCGTCACGGCTCTTTTTTGCATGTGTACATTCTATGAGAGTTTACATTTACGTCAAAGCAATGTTAAAGACTAAGGCAAAATAACCTGATGAAGGTTTGTGGGGTTTAACGTCCCAAAACAACCATATGATTATAAGAGGTGCTTTCCCTCCGGAAATTTTGACCACGTGAGCTTCTTTAACGTGCACTAAAATCTGAGCACACGGGCCTACAGCATTTTCGTCTTTACCAAAAATGCAGCCTCCGCGGCTGGGATCCCTGAAAATAATCAGAGAGTAGGAAGATTATACCGCAAGAAACGTTCAGCTTACGATTTTTCATATTCTTATAATGCTTGATAATGCTCTGGCAACATTGTGCGTGTCCGTCATTTTTTGTTGGAAGCGTGTCGGAATCACGTAGTAGCGTACCATTAGGATAAAAAATCACAACATATCTATAGAGTGAATGATGAGAAGTAGGACGTAGCTTCAAAAGATTTTATCGGCAAACCGTGAATTATCCGCTGGCTACATTCGTCCGTCACTCAGTCTGTTTGTGTGTTCATCCATTCATCCAGTGAACAGTCGAAGTATTGATATCTCGAACAGTTTCATCATATATTCATAATATACATGCATCGCAATCCAGCGGAAATTCTAAGGACTAAAACGAGAAGTGGCTACTATATACAGAAGACGCATGACCAGCGCCTTAAGGAGCTTCGACCCTAAAGAGAAAAATTTATGTTCGAAACCCAAGTTTGAATCTAAACTCTCAGGTAAGGGTTGACTGAGCTTCTCTATTCGCAGTCGTTGACAGTTTTTGAACTCATAAAGTACGGCCGTGTCTGCCGTACTCCAGCGCCCACCGTGGTGAAGCCCACCGTGGTGCCACACGTCAACAAGAACGCAACAATGAAGCTCTGTTCGTTTCAAAACTGCACGCGTCACAGCACTTCGAAAACTTGTTCTCTAGTGGTTGGTGCTTCCGATCTGAGGCAGGCGTTCAAGTGTTCATTGCAGATAATATGTGACTCTTAAGCGATACTTCAGCGATATTTTTGCCCAACAGTACATCTCCGTTTTATTTCCCCACCGTGATTTAAACTTGTCCCATATGAAAGCGATGTTGTTTCTGCGTGTCCAACGCTGGGCTGCAATCATCCACGCATTTCTTTAGGCCCAGGTATCTACCCTTTGCAGTCACGTGTGTTGGAGTTTTTCGAGATAAAGAAGACATGGGCACGGGAATAAGCGGTGTGCTGTGAACCAAGCAAAAATAATCATCGCGCATTTTAACTCCATTTAAGAACCAAACCTCGCTATTATGTAGGTCGATAGAATGCATGCTGATGCTTTGTTTGCCACTTTTTTGATGATATATGCTTCAAATATTTATTGTGTGATCTCATTGTGTCGATAGAACGTTTGCTTCATGCAAGCTAGATGCCTTTTTTTAGACTTATCTTTTCAAATCAGGGCACTGAAGTTCAAAAGGGTTTGTTCTTTCCTACAAAACAAAAGTCAAACGCAGCAATAAACAAAGCCACAAATGCGATGCCCCGCCCGCAAGTGCGAAGACCAGGCAAAACAGTGTACTACCCATCATTCTCATGGTCACTGAACAATCACAGCGCCAGAGTCCCCTCTAGTTAGTTTTAGGAAACTATGTGCTCGGGAAGAACTATCATGTTTTCAGCATTATCAGCAAGATGGCGCAGTAAGCGCGCGTCGCAACATCGTCACGACGCGGCAGCGCACGCTGTCATCTCTTACGCGTACTTTGCCCCCGCGTAGAGGAGGAAAGGGGACGCACCGTGGCTGGCCTTGAGCTTTGACTGTAACAATTCTGTTGCATTTCCTGGGCAAACAAACGTCACTGCAGTCGTTGCACAGTCTCTGGTCGCAAAAAGGGTGCGCTTTTGAGACACGGTAAAATGACAACTGAGATGCTTATTTGTGTTCATCTGTACCTGTGAGTACGTTTCGTGCGTCATTTGTGCGTGAGAAACGCTGGACACATATCGATCTGCTTGCCATTCTGCGTGTGACCTTCCAATTTGTTGTTCTTGCATTCATTGCTTTAATCTATGACTTTTTTGAAAACATAGGTAACATTAGTTACTGTTTGATCAAAACAAGATGTCTGAAGAAAAATAAGAAAATCACCTACATAAAAATTTACCTTAAGACATTACTGAACCTTAAGACATTCCTGAACAGACCTGTCAAACCTTCGTAAAAACTGACGCTCAGCAGAGGAGCAACCGGCGAGCCTATGCAAACACCAGAGCCATGTAAGTAAAGGCTGTCTTCCCATTCAACAAATGTAGAAATCAAGCAGAAGGAAAGAATATTCAGAAAACTGTCCAGAGAAGTACCTGCACTGTTACAAAAATCACTTTATCACTATCTTCTGTAATGCACAGTCTCACAGTTTTCATCCACTCATCATGTGGAATATTGTATATCACAGATATCACAGGCAGATAACGGACATCAATACTAAAAGCATTACAAGGGCCAGCGTAGGACTTATCTAGAAATTCAACAAGTTTTTGAGCGTTTCAAAGGGATCATTAATTAGCAGCGCCTGTAAAATCTTTCTCAGGTAGCACGATAAAACACTCTGCCACGTTCCTTCCTGAAATGATTGCTCGTAATGTAATGGCTGGTTTGTCTGTCTTTACTGCAAGAAATGTATCACTTTCGCTTTTTGCCTCGACGCAATTGTATGTTCCAGATTATGCTTCTCAAGAATAGCAGTGGCCCTTTCCTTCTCTTTCGAAGCCTTTTTTAGTGAGTTGCGAGTCAGCGCTGTGGTTCGACCCTGCTTCTCATGGGTCCGCTCAGTCGTGCACTGTGTTAAAATATCTTCAAGTACTGTCACCAGCTGGCCCAGCTTTCAGTCCTTCCTCACCATGCTTGACTGCGGGTCCTAAGAGCTGGTTCTTCAGTGCATTTTCACTCCCATTTTGCCTCAGCAAGCTCTTCAAGAAAGCCATTTACACACGCCTATCGCACTATCTCGAAGATCGGGGTTTTTTTTTCTACCCACATCTGTGGTTCAACAAGCGGATACCCTGATTCATACCACCGACAAGGCTGCCCTCGGTCTACCAATTAGAACATGCACATATGTGCTTTTTGACTTGAGGATCTACAACACCGAGGAGCTTGAGGTCATGGTCCTCATCCAGCAGCGAGAAAGACTTGGTTTCTCACCCATAGATAGAAAAATCTTATGTTGCTCAGGATATTCTGCCCAGCCCCTTTGCAGTGACGAGGGACTAGTGGCCCTCTCCGGTCGTATTCATGCCGGAATTCATATCTCTCCTACACCGAAAATTTATTTCGCTCCTACACCAAAAAATATTATTTCCTTGTACCCCCGAGCGTATTCGGAGCGGACGCAAACACGTGCGCTTTATACGGATACAGCCCGCTGTGACATGCATGGCTTTTCACTTGCCTCTGTTGGTTCAGTACGCAGTCCGGGTTTATTCACCTGTGCTTCAACCAAGACGAACTCAGGGAACATGGCGGAAGCCCTCGTGGTAGCATTCACCATCAAAACCAATTAAGGTATGAGACAGCGATCTTACATTCTCACGGACTCTCAAACAGCTTGTCGTTACTTCACTAACGGCCATGTACCTGCGTGCGTCGCCTGCCTCTTAGGTGCAACACTAGACAAGGAACACTTTGCAAGATTGTTTCAGCGTGCAAACAATGAAAAAAGGACAGGGTAGACAAAAAGAGAGCTGACTTCCAACTGACTCTATTTCACAGAGTGGCAAGAAGATATACGTCTAAAAAGGATGATTACAGAGCATGAAGGTAAAAAGCAAGCCTAATCTACCCACCAGTAACAAAGCACGTGTGACGGGTGCCCTATAGCCTGAAAGCTA